GGAAACAGTGGAAGGAGAATGGGTTAATGTCGTACGAACCAGATCATACAAAGAAGCAGTTTCTGTTGAGATCAAGCTCATAGAAGATCGATGTGATTCACTTGCCGGTCTTGAACCTGAAGCTGTTGTTGTTCAAGCAGAGTTTAGTCAAAATGATGATTTCTCATCTGTAATCTCTTCCATGAGATTGCAAGGTGAAGAGGACTGGCTCGTGAATTTCGACACAACAGCTCTTGTTGCTCTTGTTTCTGGAATAACAAACGGATGTGCAGAGAGAATCGTGGATATGCCTGAGATTGAATTAGAGGACAAGTTTAAAGGAAACACCGTTTTTGTGATTGCTCAGGTACGTACCCATTGAGCTTGTTTCTTGGTTTATCAAAAGATTCAAAACATAAAACTTTTGTGAGATTTGACATGCAGGCGAGATCTGAGATTGAGAACCCAGTTCTTGTCAAAATGGGAACTGTATTATCAGGGAAGCGAGGGATTATATGCAAGTGTGTTCTTTCAGAGTTTAAGGAGTTGGTTTCCATGTATGCTGGACCCAACGAGAAACTCAGAGCTGAGCAGTTGTTGAAGAGCCTAATGTAATTCTCATCGCAATCACATTGACATTATGCCCTATATCAACAGAGAATCTCAAAAGTTCAATCGTTTACTCGTTGTAGTTCTGATTGATGATGAATTGTGATCGGTGACAGGGTGGTGAATGACAGTCCCTCGGAGCGTGTGATGGGACTCCCAACAACGAGGAAGTTAGCAATGAAGAACAAGACCGTGTTTGGAACAGGTGATAGATGGAGAGCCCCGACATTGACTGCAAACATGGCGTTTGTAAGAGCCGTGGCTCAGTTTGGCATGTCTCTCTCCACCATCGACCATAGTCCTCGAGCTCTCACTGGTGATTAGCCAAAGTTCGGCTTCTGCTTATCAGTATGTAATTTTGTATGATCTAAAGACCAAACCTTTGTGTAATAGATGTTGTCCAAGTAATAATAACGAACATAACAGAAACAGAGTTCTTTCGCAGAAAGAACAGAATTTTATTGGGACTAAACAAACATACAGAGTACAGACAACATCTTCCCTTTTAACTTTTTCTGGGAACTAATCCAAATCCAATTTGGTAGTTTTTCTTTTCACAGAGAGCTTTATATATTTATTGTCATTTGGTGAATCAGAAAAGGAAGTTATAGAGCTATACCATTTGTGTTTCTATGGCAGCCACTGCCTTCTGTACTCTATAAAGGTAATATGCATTCTATCCACTGGCTCTATCTTTGGTTTCCCTTAATATGATTCGATGTATTTTGAGTCCTTAGATTGTCTTCAGACCATGACGCATCAACGGAAGGAAGTTGGTACTCATCTGGTTTCAATGCCAACGCAAAATCAGGAAGCGTCGGTGCTGTTTCCATGATTCTATAATGCAGAATAAATGGACAAAACAAGATTGATGAGCTAATAATATCATAGCAATAGGCAGAGAGAAAACTAAAAAACTTTTCAAACCGAAACTCACTTTTCGTATGAGTATAGATCACGGTTTATCCTGACTTTACTTGAAGTGTCTTTCGGTATTTTCTCTGATAGATACTTCATTGTACCGAAAAGCGGTGGAGTCCTGAAGAAAATGTGGATGGGTCTTAAT